GCATTGATAGTCACGCGAGGAAAAACCAAAGCTTTTTGTTATCGTCAGTCTTTTGGAAACGAAGAACACTCGGTGGTTGGGTGTGATGCGCCAGTTAGTGTCCTCTCTGTAACGGTCTAGTCCCTGTTTCTGCCTTTCCTGTGCAGGCGCGTGAGTAATTGGATAGTAGTGGTAGTGACGCTCGCGAGCCATACGCGTGGAACGAAAAGATAACGCAATTTATTTCAAGCATTATTCGTACTCTCTATAGTCCACTCAACGGCTGTTTCACCCTATTTTTTTATTTATCTCGTCCTTCATCCCTCTCACTGCTCTTTTTGCAGCAATATATCACTGAAAAATTCTAACTCTCTTATTTAATATTAAGCTCCTTGGATTATCAAGAATTATGCTCCAAACATATGTTTAGATTTTCCAATGATTTTATATCCATTTTATTTCTGCTCTAGAGTCGTGACTGTTTTAAAGCTCAATAAGCGAATTGCTACTTGGAGGAAAAATATGTATTGGTACGATAAAAAAATATCAAGCTCAACCAATAACTATAATATAGTTGCAGTGATAATAAAAATTATGAAGACCTTTTTTTTATTGATAACACAGCTATATCATTGCTAGTAACTTTGATTTTTTCAGTGTAAACTACTTCATCTAAAGCTTCTATAAATAATGGATTATAAGAATTAATTTTTTTAATTAAAAATTTTCACTCTGCAAAAAAATTACTTTCCTCAGAATAAAGGAAAAAAGATAATTCGATAAAAATTATGTAACTTTATTGGATTTTTTTTTTTAAATTTAATATCTTTATTACATAATAAAAATATTTTTTATTTGAAAAAAATATATCTCATTTTCATTACTATACGTGATACTTAACACTGTCAGTAGCAATATCTGTTTATCAGGTATACAACACAATAATCCTCTAGCCAATATTGATCCACCTCACGATGATGAAACATTTTTAAGTATATGTTGAGCAATATCATGAAACTGCAGACTATTACCTTGATTAAAATATCCAATAATCGAATTCTTGGAAGCGATTATAAGGGGCGTGAGTATCAAAAAGTATATGAATAAAGGGGAAAGTTAAAAAAATATCTAAGGTGATTAATGAGTAGAGGATGATGGGATAGACGAATAACAGTTAGCTTCAACTCATCTCTTGACACGTTCTATTCCCCTAGTTTATTCTGTTTTACTTTATTCAACCCTCATATATTTTTTTTTTATTTTCATTTTACTTTAACTCTATCTTTTTCTTCAGAATATTCTATCGCATATTGCCAACTCATTCTTGTCCTCGAACTTTTTTTACCCTTATCCGTAAACCGAGTGGAAATGAGCATGTTATCATCACTTCAGTGGTGAGGTCGGTAGCTAAAAAAAATACGGTACTTACAGAAAATTCATGTCAACACACAGTTGCACCCCCATTAATTCCAGCGATAGGATATCTTTTATTTCTCTCCTTATTCTTGCTCCCTCTCTGAAGAATAGGAACTCAATAAATGCAGAGAACAATTGCTAAAACTTTATCGTGAATTTATAGGCACTGTTAGTATAGAAAAAAAACAGATATTTTTCTTACTTGCCTAATCTGCACCATCTACTCAGCCTTAGCAGACTGCTCTTAAGACTTTTATCAGACTCACGATCTTTCTGGATTTGCATTCTTCCTTACTCTTTCTCGTGCGGCATAATTCGTTTCAATCGAATCTCTGGGATGAAATAAAAAGTTTTTCTTTTTCTTTTGAGAATTAAATTGATTTTCATTTTTATCACTTCATTCTTTTTCAACATTGATTTGAAGTTAGCAGGGGTAATACTTGAAAGAATAAGAGAAGAAAAAAACAATGAAATGGTGGTTTAACAAACGTCAAAGTTTCAATAAAATACTTTTAGTTACCTCTGTCTACCAACTGATATTCCAATTGACAACTTCACTAAAGAGGTGGGATTTTACAAAAGTGTATTGTCATGTAGAATGAAGATCAGTGACCAACTGGGATATTGAAATGCTCTTGCTGTAAAGAACATTTGCTGAGGGTTGCAGAAAGCATTGAAAGTGAGGTGATACTGTGTAGGAGTTTCTGTAGTAACTCACCCTTAACTCTGTACTTGGTGAGAGACCGACACCACACGTAAAACCGAACGCAAGCACTGAAGCTAGAATAAATGCTATCTATCGAAGCACAGCAGTTTTTTCCCACGACTATTTTATCCAATAGACGACTCAAAAGTGATACTGAACAGTTACTCGATAGGTTTTACTCTCTACTTTGTTGATGAACTTGAAACATCTAGAAGTGTTTTTTTACGGCATCACCGCCTTCTAGTAGTACTACTGGACTCTGCAACTTTTTAGTTTCACCTACGGTACTTGTTCTCTATACAATTCGAATTAGTAGAGAACCTAGAAGCTTTTGCGGTTCACTGGCCTAGACAGAGCCTCGAAAAAACACTCAATGGGAATTCCGACACCTTTGATAAACCTCTTCACTTTTAATTCATTTTTTTTTTCCTTCGGTTGAAATGAACACGAATGAGAGTAGTTAAGTAAAAGATTTTTATTCAGATTTAAGCATTCAAACAATTCTTCGATTTATAAATTTGGACGATTCGGCCGCGACAAGACCAAGGGTACCTTGATATGAAAGGGCTTAAAGGATTAAAATAATAATAACGTTGGAAATTGGACACGGCCGAGGTGGAGCCCTCGTAATCTTTGCCAACCATATGCCGACGCAGCCTGGAATGAAGCCAGCTGAGTGTGTGTGGCATCCAAAGTACGAGACAGAAAAAAATAGTCGTGCAACTTAATCTGACATCGCGAAAGGGGAGAAACGAATTCAATTGATGCTGCTGCAAGTGAGTTGCAGTACGTATGTATTTCATGTTGATATGCACGTGGCACTTCAATATTTTTGTATTTAATATTTTTTATCTTGCTTATTCTTTCTCTCGATGTGATTTTTTATTCTACAATCGACAACCCCATATGATTGAAAGTCTAAAAAATATTTGGATAGTGATTTATTCGATAAGCCTCCTTAGAAGAGCACGATTCGTTGAGATTCAATCAGAATGTATTTCGCGAATTATCAGCACACGTTGAATATCCAGATGATGGGGAAGCTTTGATAGGAGGGTGTCTATTCTTTTCCCTTTGTATTTTGACACATCTAGCGATTTATATCGAGAGATTTCAAGCAGGAAGACAAACAAACTGATGAATATAAGTCTTAAGTATTTTCTTATTGAATATTTAAATTAATTTTTATCATCACTTCATTGGATATTTTTTATTTATCGAAAGGATTAATGTTATCATTATCATTGTGAGAGAATATAAGAGTACTTTTCTCGATGATAATAATAATAATCCTGAATTACCTACTAATTCTTTGATGTGAAGTAATAGTATGAAAGTAGTAATACATTTAGAAAAGAGGACAGGTAAAATGATACGATAAGGATTACGATTCAATCTGTTGAACACTTATCGTTTTATCTTACGATATACGCCCTTCTTTTTTTTTTGTATTTTTTTACGTCTTTTTTAACTCGATCCTGATAGTAACTTTCACTTTCATCGGAGAGTACTCCATCTTTCCTGACTTTTCCATCTCTTGTGTACACGCACAGGATTTCGTATCGAGTTTCGAGGATAAATCAGAGGCTTTTCAATTCGATGTCATTTATAATAATAATAATAACATAAAAAAACACAGTAAAAGAAATTCCATCTCTCAAGTTTGAAGTGATTCAATTATTTTATTTTTGATATTTTAAATGATCTTATTACGTTGATAAATTAATTTAAATTATTAAATTGAAAACTTTTTCAGAATAATAACATTTATTAAATATTGAAGAATAGAATTAAAACTTTTCATTAAAAAGATTGACAAATAATTTTTTACATGAAATTTAAATTATTTTTTTTTTTTCGATTTTAGTTTAACCTAAATATCTTTGCCTTTTTATTAAAATAAAAAATTCAAACAATTTTCTTTAAATTGAGTTCATTTACTACTAATTGATTTTATATTTTATCAGAACTTGTGATCAGTAGAATAATTGACATATAATTATATTCTGAGCAATTAATAAATTGGAAATATTTTATTTATAAATATAAATATAATTTCATTTTTGTTACGTGAATGATACATGTGGGATAGTGAAATAATAACATAAAAAACAATAATAAAAATGAAAAGAAGCACATGAAGCAAACAAATGCATACAAACATATAAAAAAAGATAATGAAACGTGATTTAATTTATTAATTTAGCTAGTTATTTTATTCAAATAAATTGAATTAGCTTCAAAAGACTTCACTGGCAGCCATGTTATTTTAGAGGGTGTATGAATAGAGGAATGAGAGAAAGGAGTGCTCACGAATACCCATGAGATAGAGAGAAGAAGAAGAACAGTGAGGATGAAAGAGAAAATGAAGGGGGTGGTTCAGTTAGTTCCATAATATAGACCCCTTTCACTTGGCGTTGGGCCCTCCTGATACCATATAATATATAGCATTGTTCGCGCTCTCTTACCTCGAAGTGGAACGAGTATATTTATAAGGGGTGACTTTCTTTCATATGTTAAGCAGATCAGTGTCGCGAACTGGAGGGTTGGTCGCGTTCAACTACGTTGCATTGAAAATGTGGCTTTCCCTGTGGGACTTGGTACCCGCAGCACCGAACTCTCGCGTAAATGCCTTTTGCCGGCGAATTTTATGCATCGTGGGAGAGACACCAAGTAATGTTACGCGTGGATTCCAGATCCGCTGGAAAAAAAATTGCTTAGAGACCGGGTGTAACTTCCCTAGGGTCTGCTCTAGGGGTAATTTTTATTTTCACGTTCTCGACGTCTCACATTTTATAATATTGAGTGAGAAAATGTGAAAAAATCTCCATTTAAATCACAATCTTATTATATTAAGAATCGATTTTAATTATAGATTATTTTTTCTTTTTTTTTGCAGAACATGTTCGAGAATTCAGCTGTGGGACGCTGTACTACAGGACGCTTTACTTGGACAGCAAAAAAGATACGCTTTATGTTGGAGCCATGTAAGTATTTGCTATGCTAATATTGAATTCAAATACTACTCACATTCTTTCGTCGACATAAATTCTTTTCTGTGACAAAAGAACCCATTACAATAATCATTGCAATGACAAAGAAGGATTTGATTCAATTGAGTTTATGTAAGTATTATTTGCAAATATTTTTTTAAATTTATTTTTACAAATGAAATTTTTTAAAAATGCGAACATTTTTATTTGAAATTTTATGATATCATCACAATCAATGTCAAGAATAAAAATTCATCGACGACATATTTTTCATTATTCCATTGATGAAAGCATTCCTGTAAAATTAAATTTCTAGTTTTCATTATTTTTTCTTTCCCTAAATTTGGACAGCGTTCAAGTAAAATATTCCAATGATGTATTTAAAATATTCTTACTCTAATACTCGAGTCGTTTATTTTTGTACCATCATTCACAGAGTTTATTTTACTGGTTTTTGCTTATCTCCGAGGATTAGTATGAGAAAGTTGGCCAAAAACTATTTACGAAGTTTGAACTATCTATTCGTTTCTTATATCTCCAAATATCCTGTATATGTTTTTCCACATCCTCTACGTTGGGTCAGACAAGCAAGAACTCAACTACGTTATTTTAGTCGTACTCAAGTCCCATCGTTCGTCAAATTAACCAGCCGAACTTTGCCAATAAATCTCGCATCTTTCTGCCGTGACTTTCGGCTCTCAGAAGCGTGAATACAAACTTTCGTGAATTGCTTTTTCGAGTCTAGCGTTTGTAGAAACCACACAGTAGTCTTTGTCACTAGTTTATCCACATTATTCACGATCCTCGAGGGGAATGCCAATTGAGAATTGGAATGACAAATGAGTGAAGCTTCAAGTACCAGTGCTTTTGTTGTTAGTTACTGGCGTATTTTTGGTATATATATTTTTTTCTTGAATCATGTTACAAATGTTATGAATAATTCTGACACCCTGATCTCTCGACTCGTAGTATTCTTGATATTACTCGAGGCCTAGAGGGTAGAGCTTCACCACATTGGGGTTGGGGAATTGAACAAGTATAGATCACTGGCAGTTATTATGAGGGTTGAGCCTCTAAGAGACTGTAGTATTGAAAGTTCTTCTCTTGGTTGTTGCATCATTACTAGCCAGAGTATTATTCCTTGATTCAGTATCGCGTAGGCCCCTCAATTCACCCATTTGCTTCATCTTGTAGCCCCGTCGCCTTTGTAATATTCTCCCTACTTAATTTGGTGAATGCCAACAAAATGCTACACAGTGTCGATAATAGGCTGGAGGCAGAGTGTGGGTTGGAAAAAATTTGATGTCGTGGTAGAGATACTTGAAACCAGTCAGACATGGACAAAGGAAAAAGACAAGCAAAGAAACAACCCCATACTAGATTCTTCTCTATCTTCTCAAGCTCATCGAACGAATCGGGCTTGGATTACGTTGTTCCTTAGAGAAAAGTCCAGGTCGATTAAAAGTTTCCAAGAGACGAGCATTAGAGTTGCCTTGGGGGAGTCTTTATGAGCAACTTTTGTACAAAGAAAGGTACGAATTGAGAAAGAGTGAAGTGAAATGAAACTGCACATTTTTTTAATAAAAAATAAAACATACTTATTTGACATACAGAAAGCCTGATTTTTCCTACACAAATTGAAAGAAAAAACAAACCTGGTTGAATACAAATAGAGGAGTAACCATAAAAAGCAACAGGAGTGGTAACGATAAATTGCGTTTTTTTCGCCAGAAGAGGTGAACACTTCGGTTTTAATGTTTTCTGTTTTCTGGCTGGGTTCCACGTGCCGACCTGAGTTTCTTCACGGTATCTATTACCCTCTGGCTATCGAATTCCGATAAGACTAGTGGAGAGGTCCGGATGGACGTTTTTTCCAATGATCTCAAACGTTTACGGTTATCTCGTATTCTTATTCCAAATAAATCAATGTTTTTGTTCTCCTCTTTTGATTCACTTACCCTGATGTTTTTAATTCCACCAAGCAAAACATAAATAAATTTCTCACAAATCTTTCGGAAATTGTCAATAATCAAGCAGTTGTTTCACTTAACAGCCATGAAATGGTTTCATATATTTTTTGTTTTTCATTTCAATTATTTTGCAATTGTCTGTGTGTTATGTTCATTTCTATTTCCAACACCGTTTTGCAATATACGAAAATCGATTATTCAGAAATGCTCGATCTCCAGCCGTTCTTTCCATTAATTAGAAATGTGATGCTTTCGATAATGAGACTGTGGCTTGCCTGCGGCATTCACCCACGATTAACGATACGCTAATAGAAGCCTCCTCTCAATTATCGATTGAATTCATTCGAAAAGAAAATTAACCACTCTCTCGTGTATACTTGGACTAATCGAATTTCATTTTTCCCCGATGATTAAATTAAAGATAACTTCAATAATTATTTTAATCAAATCTACAATTAATATTGCCATTGGTTTGATTTGAAAAAAAAAATAAACCCATCTGAGGAATAAATTAAACTTGGATTCAAACATTCCATTGTAGAGGAAATCACATCTCTCTTCAACACCTTCTTGAGAAGAATATTTCCAATGAAAAGATCAGCTACCGTAAAAATAATTCTTTCTCACTATCTGCACATATATATACTTTGAATCCATCAGGGATTTCAGGGTTTATAATCATGAATGAGATTTTTAGATCATGATTTCTAAAGAAAATAACCTCAGCTTCATCCAATAATGTATCACTGGAATAATTTTCAAAATTAGAAATTTTTGTTTTATTGGAGAAATTGATTAAATTGGATTAAAGTATGTTGTTTTATTTAGAGCTGGATACTTGGATGATAGTTGAAGAAATAGATTGAATGGTCTGATGGTTTATTCTATAAAAATAATAAATCAAATAATAAACGACGAAAGTAATGTGTATGTGGTTTGTCTAAATCTGAATTTATTCAGAATTTCATTATTCTGAAAAGGATTTTCTGAAATAGAAAATGTACTGTATGTGTTTGAAGTACATCATAGATTCGCCAAACTTTTTCATTCGATTTGCTTCCAATTCAAATATTGTTGGCTGTCAATTTGAAATTTCTCAGAGTTATTGGGCTTTTTCCGGGCGAAAAGTAATTTAGACTCAAGGATTTCTTTGTAAATCAAAAGATCTACGTGGAAATCATAAAATGAGAGTTCATAATTCACGAGAATAGCGATAAATTATACATAACTCTGAGGTTTTTCTGGAGGTAAGGTTTTTTTTGCCAAAGTAATTATTTATAATTCACAAAGTACAGCTATAAAGTAGGGAAAAAGTCGAGGATTGAGGGATTCCCCCTAGCGATCTCGACACCTAAGCGCATTCTTCTCTTTCTCTTTTACCTTCCGATCTTCGCTTCTTCCTAAATTGAAATCGATGCTCGTCCCCGCGGCTCAACCAACTTTTTACCCGTAAAATTGGTTCCGTGCTTCGGTTTGCGCGCTCCTGCTTCTTTTTTCTTTCCTCCTTTACCACCTACCTTTTCCTACAACCTCGTTCGAACGCCAGCACGTACATCGTAAAAGTTTCTTCGAGTTTGAAAGCATAGCGAAAAGTTCAGGCGAATTCCGAGAGTCGGATTTGTTTTTCTAACGGCTAGGTATTTACTTTTTCACCGCGTCGTTCTCAGGATGAATGGAGTAACATTGCTGATGTGGTCGCATTTTCTTTTTAGTTATAGACAGTAATAATATAGCTTCTTTTTCTATATCTTCTTTCGTTTTCTCGAGGTTTTTTTCTCTCTCATTCACATCTTCTTCATTTCTTTTACTTCTTCTCTGTCTTCCACATCGCTGCTTCTTTATTGAAAGCCGATGACGAATGGCTATCGGAATAAAGTTATACGCAGTGAAGCTAATGTTCCGTAACACCTTCTGACTCAAAACTGGGTGAATTCGATTTACGATTCGCGACTTTATACACTCGATGCATTTGCTTTTAGACCCAACGATACGTGATGGAAAATAAATATCTTACTTTCTTACCAACTTATTTTATCTTTTGAAATATAATCAAATTTTGACATAAATAAATAATAGTGATATAATAAAAATGAAAGATAACTTCATTTCAAAGTTTTAAATCGGATTATTGAACTTGTGGTAAATAATAACTATTTCTTATCTATCTTTATCTGTATAATTTTGACAATAGATAACTCGTAAACTATTATCTTCACAATAAATGTCCAGTTGAGTTTTTCATACTACTTTTTCATCTTCTTGGTAAAATGATAAAATTCCTTATGAGCATTTGAATGAACATAACAGCTGGTTGTGTAATGCTAATAATATGTAACAATATGGAGTAAAAGCACAATAAGATCAGACAAGTAAAAAAAAATGTCAAGTCATGCACAATGTCCTGAATCACAAAATGGAATTTCAACCCCCATAATCCTTACCTTTACTCGCTTTGTCATGTAATCTTAGAGTACCAATAAAATTTCTCACATTGTCTTTTTTTCTGCTTTCAGGGATAAAATCTTCAGGCTCAATCTCACCAACATCAACCACTCAAACTGTGAAGTAAGTATTTCATCCAGTAGCATCAAACACAAGATAACAATTTTTTATAGCTTTAGTTTCAATCCAACTGCCTCTGTCTTAAGAAAAAGTGTGGATTCTCTAGATAAAAAATTGAAAACAATTTTTTGACATTCGTTGGCTTAGTGTTTTTGACGTGATGCACTCAACAATTCGGTATGAAAATGCATCCTCCTCTCCACGTGAAAAATAAATTGTATCGTAACACTTGACTCGTCACCATAATTTTCGGTTGCGAACCCGTGGTTAAATGTATGAGAACTCTGAAAACAGGATTGTCATGTATACTTACTCGCGAGCTTTTCTCTCTCACGTCTATTCGAGAATGAATGGGCGTAGAGAGATTTCCCCATAAAACTGTCAATCATCCGAAAACACCCTTCGATAGCTTGACAGCTGACACGTCTCTAGCACTAAGCGATCTATTGTCGACACATGCACTACCCCTTTTGCAAATCTACAATATCCTGCCAATCATCAGAAAATTTTCTAACAATTTTTTTATTTCTATCAATTTGATTTTACTCACATCCATCTGCCTTTCTTTCTCTCTTTCTCTCTCTTTTATTTGTTATTTCTCGACTTTTCCATCCGGAATTTTCAATCGAGGAGATTGAATTGAAATTGCTTCAGTTTCAGGGTCGAAGTGTAGCCTTAGGTGACCGTTCGGTCCAACTGAATCGACCGCCGCAAATGGAAAATTGCCTTTTAATGTTCCCCAACTTGGCATCACTTTTTTTGTTAAAAGAAAATTTATATTTTTCAACCTCACTTTCAACATGTTCAAATAAGATCATGAGGGGAATTTGAATTATTTCCCGTTAGAAATGGATATTATAGATCGAGGGTCATAGTTCGTCATGGTGGTGATTTTACAGATCGATGAAGTAATAAAATGACAATATACAATATGACGCAAGCAGATGTGCTCTCAAAGTGCACCTGTGAAGGGTGCAGAAATGAACATTCAAAAAGTTTATGAGGGTGTTTTTCTTAATATCATCTTCTCTATTGAAAAAAAAAAAAGGGAAATAAATAAGCATGAAAATTATTTAGAGTAGGCATTGTTCGGTGAATATACATTTAGAGAAGATACAAATTTCGGAATAGTTTACAATGTGGCACGCGATCTAAATTCCCGAGGGCAATGCCGGGAGATGCACAAAAAAATTGACTCTGTGGGCACCAGCGACGCACAAGGGATAGTAACAATTCGAAAATGCAATTATTCGAGCGCGACGACGCGTTTCGTATTTCGCAGACGAGTATATCGCCACCCCTCTTTTCATGTTGCAATAGCGAAACAGAGATTCGACAGATGCGCAGACGTTGTTCTATTCAAAGTCCACAGGATTATTCGCGTTTCACCGCTGTTGATGTATAAAAAACGTATCAAAAGCTCTATATTATATCCAATAAGTAGGTCAAGAGGCTTAAATTTAAATATGAATAATTAAAAACATCTTTATAAAAATGAACAAATAAAACAACATCAATCTCTCGGTAAATTTGTGGATTTAAAATTATTTCAAAAGCTCTCTTCATTTTTTTTCTATAAATCTAGGATGATTAATTTCATCCTCATCTTTCCATTCGAGCCATTTACTTCTCATTTTGATAAATGGATAAATAATAATGTCAAAGATCAGGCGAAAGAATTTGGCATCATAATAAATAATGATATAAAAAATCCTGTAGATCGAATTATGTAGCTGATATCTAAGGAAATATTGTAGCCCTAGAGTATAATGTTTGTCAATAATAATATTTTATTACCCTCTTGTGACATAAGCCTATAAGGGTAAAGAGACTCGTACATATTAGTGACGACATTACGACCTTTTGGAAGAGAAATTTCAGTGGGCAAATCCACTTGTTGTGATTTTATTCCAACTCAACACAAATAATAAAAAAACATTTTTCAGGTTTTTGTTTTCTTTTTAGTAAACAAAGTAACGTGAATTGATATTGATTGAGACGCTATGAATGTAATCCATTTGAATGGATAGAACATTTGCAACTACATTTTCATTTCTGTTCATACATATCCTGCTGATATACAGGCATTGCGTGAATCGACAAAGGGAGAAAGCGATAAAGGGATGAGCGACAATGGCGGAAGGACCGATCAAATTTCGAATTTTGCATAAATACATATTGTCAAGCGGACGGGAATAGGTAACTCAAAGGTATTATGCACGACAGTCGTATAGTTGTTCCGTTCGTTCAAAACGTAATAATACATATAGTCGTGCGTGAAGTAATGCGTTGAAGAGAGGAAAGGGAGAGTTAGCAAGAAGAAGAATCGGTTCGATAACTCCGTCGTCCTGTCCTCCCTAACATTTCATGACTTCGTTCTAAACGACGCCCCTTCGCACACGGCACAATATTCTATGCTAATGCCGACTCAGTTACAATCTTTCCAAAGGGGACAATAAGAGCTACCAAGTTTTCAAGCCCTCAAATAACTAACGCCACACGTACACGAAACATCGGGTCCATAAATTTTTCAAATTGAATATTGGTACAAATGTACGATACTTATTCGACGCTGAAATTATAACGATAACTTTTTATTTGAAAGACTTTTTTTTAAGTGTCTATAAAGTTTGAAATGAATTTTTATTGTGATTTCTTTTTTAAATTAATTCCACATTTGTTTTAAATATCACAATTATTTCATGAATCAAAAATATTTTAATAAATCAAAATTGAAATTCAAAAGATTTAATTTTTAAAATTTTTGATAGCCAAATAATTTATTCAATTGTTAGTAAATATGGTTTAATAAAAAAAACAATAACAACATTTCTCTTTAACCTTTTCTACTTTGATTTTTATTTGCAATTCAATGAAATATAAATACAACAAAAATAGGTTAGTACAATCAAGATATATTAGTTTAATGTATTTCCGAATAATCAATGAATCCAATATTATTGATTCAATTACCTATATTCTTTTTCTAGTTATTTGTAATACTTTAACATATTAAATTTTATTAAATATATTTGATAAAAACTACTCAATAAATTAAAATATTAAATCTGATCCAGGGAAAAACAATAAATTGCAAAAATAAAATATTATTTAATTTAAGAAACTACATTTAACCATTATTGGTTCACCAAATAACAAATTTTACACTCCGCGAAATAGACCAATATTTATCCACATCAATTTGTTATATAGATACAAAAAAACAAAACACTGAACAACCTCAGACCATTAAAACGATTTATACACGCAAAAAATGTTTCATTGCATTTTTTTAATGGTGTACATAAAAAATAGAATGTAATTTTTTACAACAGATAGGCTAGCTTGATATATCATAGAATTTCTAGGAACAATCGTGCATACGTTGGTACACAAGTAGAGACGTTGATCGCAGTGAATAAAACATGCTATAGCTAAGGAAAGTAATGGAAGATAGAGGTCAATATCATGAAATATACGGAATAAGCCTCTATCAGTAAACTACACGTGGCAATAAAACAAAATTTCACGTGATAGGATTCATTCCTCGCTAGTGGTCTCGAGGCAATACCATCGGCTATGTCTAGCTATAGAGGATTCGTTTCCTACTACGAAGAATATTACCCGTCTGCCCAAGAGAGTAATAAAGTATTAAGAGTGCTCGTAAGATTTACAAGGCTGTGAAATCGTGAATGAGATATGCAGCCACTAGTTTCTACTAAAAGAAGATGGTATATCGGTTATGCGATACTCTGATGGATATGTAATATGCTACTAACCTTTACTACACGACTTTAAGATGATTTTGACATATTTATGTGTGATTCGCGTACCATAGATATCATATTCGATAAAACATTGTACGTAAAATGGTTTTGATGCTTATCACTATATCTCAAATGAGTACCCAGACTTTAAATATAAATTCTTCTCTACTTGCATACGTGTTTTTTGCTCGCACACGTTCTTCTCGCCATTTCTTTCTTCTTGACATTTAAGAACAAAAGAAGGTACAAGACAAGCACATGCTGTAACGTGAAAGAAATTTATTGCAACGATGAATTTGTGATAAAGCTCTCCAGGAAATTGTAGTTTGATGAGCTTCAAGACACGTTCCCCACAACCAAGACACGTGAATGTATAAACTTCTTGTACGGGTTCTCGAAAGATTTGGACTTGTCATTTCTTATATACTTTTATTTGCAGATGTACTAGTATTAGTACTCGAGCTATCATATCGCATTAAACTGCATTTCATGCATCAAGATGTTTCAGATAGTAAAATAAAATTGCTACAAGAGAGACGAGTATTTTAGAATCAGTGTTAATTGATGTAAACTTCAACTGTCATTTAATTTACATTGTAAATATGATTAAAAAATTGTTTTTACTGTTTCCTGATATTTCTATAATCGTTACTTGAATGAAATTGTACTCAATTCTACACTTTTAATTTTTCTAGTACTTTTAAGAGTGATTTGAAATAACTCAGTTATAAAAAATAGATTTTTTCATTAGTGAAATACTTGGATTGAAAATACCTTTAATTTCACTCCGGAGATAATGGTATTTATAAACTATCTCTTGATTTTCAAGTAGATTGAATGTTGAAAAGCTTACTAACTAATCAACAACCATCTGTTAATTACTGTTTCAAAAAAAAAATATAATAGAAAATCTATAGAAAGTAGCTTTTAAAAATTCGCAATAACAAGTAATCTTGTAAAAAGTTTATTTTCAATAAGATATAAAGTATTTATGAAATGAATAAAAATTTAACAGTGATTGAAACCATTTTGGTTTAAAAAAAAGATGTACTTATGAATTTTTAAATACTCAATTTCACCATTTAATTTTCCAACTGTTACTGTGGACTTTAAATCCCACAAGATATTTTATATTTAAACCAAAAGTTGCTCAATTTCCGTCTCGAGTGGACCTATTCAAATTGAAAAAGTAGTGGTGTCACGAAATAAATTATACTTCATTCTAATTGTCGTAAA